GCCACTTTTGCTGTATCTGTGCCACCCACATCTCTCCTCAGTCCGCTGCCCAACATGCCAGCCATCCCTGGAAACACGCTCACCAACACACCTAGAAGTGTGCTTTACTAATTTCCTAGGCATTTCTCAAAACAACCGATAAGATTAACCAGCACATCGCGGTCACATTACAAATACATGTCACCAGGACTGTGTGCTTTATGCTGGAGCTGCCTTTGTGAAACCTGGGCCATTTCAGTAGCTTTTACCAACCAACCAACAGGAGGCATCGGGGGCTCATCTTCAGGGGCATCCTAGGCCTCACAGCCATGTTTGTGGCTAATAAGCACACATCTGTGGTTAGCTGGAACTCACAGAATGACAAAAACTGGACTGCTCCCTCCTCCTGCTCAAAGACCAGCATCAGGTCCCTTGATTTGTTCCCACTCCCTTTACAGGCACCGACTATGGGCATAAGACCAATATTTTGTGTGATTCCATCTCTGGCCAGGAGGGAAATGAACCCTGGAAACTCAGCATATGGCTCAACTCATTCAGCTGCAGGCTCAGAATCAATTTCTCAAATGTAACCTGCACTGATCATGAGACCAGCAATATACAGAGTTCATTTTGTCCCTTTCCAAAATTCTAAAGGACAGCATCAGAGGCAATGAATAGCAATTTTCTGTCACCACAGAGGTTAGTCTAAGTCACAAATCCAATCACTCTCCCAGCAGGGCAGGTGCCATCAGGGCCCAGGAAGGCTGGGTGGGTTCCACGCATACAGCAGCATTTGTGCCTAGCTAAGGTTTGGGGAGCTGCAGGGCTCCCCACTACCAACACCATGTGGAGTAGGAAACTCAGGAAACGGAAGCATTGGACTTTCAGTCTTGACAACTAAGTCAACATGGATTAAAGCATTGTTTGGATAGGATTTGGCCCTTGCCAACCTGAGATTTATCAGAATGGGGACTGAGAAGAACATCCTGGGATGTGTGAGGCCCTGCTGACAACACTCCCCACCCCTACACGATGTGATGAGCTGGGAGCAAGTGGACACTGTTTACTGAGAAGATACCCCATCAGAGCAAGGCATGTGCCCCACCCAAGGAAGGGCGCCCTGCAAGAAGCAATGTAACGGGACCCTTCATCCTTCCACTGGCTTCGCGGGGAAAAACTTGCCTGTGCAGATGTTCTGGGGTGTCAGCCATGTAGGGTATATTGACTTGGGCTCCGTATAGTCTCTTCATTCTACTGAGATTGGATCCCACAGTACTCCTTCCTCGGGAGGGCTGCTGGGGAAGGCCAGGATGGAAGAGGTTCACCGGATGCCACCCTAGCTGTGGGAAGAGGGGTGGGGTGAGCCCCGAGGAGGATGGGCACGCAGCAGGGCACACCCAGAGCTGCTCTGTGTAATAGGTGTCGTTTGGAAGTAGGTCTGGGCCCTGGATGCAGAGCAATACTCCTAACACAGGAAGACCCAGGCTAGACATATCCGGGACAGCAAAGGAAAGTCAGCCAAAAGCTTCCAGTGGCAAACCTAGCTCCAGCCCCTGCAAGGATCTGTAATCCTCCTTGCCAAGTGGCGCTTCTGAGCTGATCAGAGCCTTACTTCCTCCAATCTTGTGAGCAGTTCCTGCCATCTTTTGTGACATGCTGAGAGGTAGGCCTATCAGAGTGTTGGGGGATACTGCTCAGTGGTGAGGGTATCAGCAGCAGCTTCTTCGTAAAGAACATCCGGAAGCCTCAGATCTCAGGCACCCCTTCTGAGGGCGCAGCCTACCTGGGCAAGGGTTCTATCACTGTGCGAAGGTAGCACAAGGATGGAATCCGAGCTGTTGGCTGCGCAACACCCAGGACCCTGAAGTACAGGTGGTTCTGGAGACACTGAGACCCTCAGCTGCTGTACCTTATCATCCTCCATTTCCATAGGTGTCTAGGCACAGGTGTGAGCCCACAAAGCTGCCTAAGCCCACAAAGCTGCCTAAGAGTCCGTAATGAGCAATTTATTTCTTTTCATCTCCCCAAATGGTGGTAGCATCTGCCTTTTACCTTCAGAGAAAGAGGCTCCCAACCCCTTGGTCCTCCCCAGGCACAGGAACAAACCTCCACTTCCTCAGCAGCCAAGGACCAGCCCTGGTCAAGGTCACAGGAAAGCAATGTCCAGCTACCAACAGACACAGAAGATTCTAGAAGACACAGACTCTAGAGAGGCAGGCCATGGGCAGCAGTGGGGCTGCACAGGGCTGGACTGCCCAAGTTCCCAGCAGACACATGAGCCCTCAGGAGATAAGCCCTGCTAGCTGCTGAGCCTAACTCTAGCCCCTCCTTTCCCTTAGCCTTAGACAGAGGACATCCCACAGATGGCTGGCAGATGGAAGGTGATAGTGCTTCCCCTGCAGGAGCCCTGTTCAACACCCAGGGTTCCATCCTGAGCGAGGCAGCCGGTCACAACCCAGCACCAAGCAGGACCAACCCTAGGAATGTGGTGGATGGACAGTTGGAGGCTCTCTGCTACCAGCTAATTTGCCAGGGGCTCCTCTCTCCAAGGATGCCAGCCTCTAGTGCCTGAGCCCAGACAGTGACTCTTCTTCCCAGGTACCTCCCACAACTGCAGTGGTGCTTAACTCTCAGATGTTCCAGTCCTAAACAAGGGTAGGCTTGTCCTGCCTTCCCTAGATTCAGGGGAGGCTATGCATGGTTCCTATACCTCACATTGGCATCCTGCATGCCTCCTCCTAGGCTCTTCTGCACCACTGGCCCTAGTTTAGACTCTGTCCCCACACTTAGCTGGCTGTCCTTTCTACTTCCACTCCAGAAGCAGAGTGATCCATGGTCCTCAAACTTGAATCAGATCTTGCCACTCCCTGGCCAAAACCTAACTCTTCATCTTGGTATTCAAGCCACTTGAATCCCACTGCCCTTTCTGCTGCCCTACAGACATGTCAGCTCCTCTTCAGTGGATTTGATGGAGTGACCTCCCTGTCATTCTTCGTGCCACCTTGCCTGACCCTTTACATGGTGCCTACCCACCCTACCCACGCAGTTTCTATGTTCTCAGCTGGTGCTCAGCACATCTGCCATTATAATTTGCTCACTTACTCGGGGTCAGATGGCTCCCCCATGAGGACATAAGCTCTGGATAGCAGGGACAGATTGTGTGTTAAAATCACACGTGCATCTCCCAGCTTTCAGTGGGGATGCAGAACAAAAGCCCTGGGAAGATGTGAACAAATCAGTGAGTTCCTGAGTGCCGGTCACTGTTCTGGAGTGCAGACAAGGAAGGAGAGGGAGGACCAACAGAGTAGCCACAGCCCAGAGCCTGTGCTCCATCTGTCTCTGAGCTAGCGCAGCCTGAACATCAAGTGTGGCCAAGTTGGGCCGGTTGTTCCCACCTGTTGTGAGTTCCCACTACCCTCCTCCACCCGGCCCTTTTCACTTCCTAAGTTAACTTGGTTTCCCACCTATGAGTGGAGCAAGTCAGGGAGGAGAGCTGCCGGAGTCACCCTGCCAACACCACGCTGTCCTCACCTAGATGGTCCCTCTCCAGGGCTGAGGGCGCTCTTGGGACAGGACAGGATCCATGCTGGCTAGGGAGAACCAGATGAGTGGATCCAAGTGGGGAGGTGACAAAGCAGCAGCCTTGGCAATTACGTCCCCACTGCGGGGAACAGCAGGCTGCCTCATGCCTCTCATCCAGGTCCGGATACTCAGAGTGTTAGACTGGTGGCAATTCATCAAGAAGCGCACTTGCCCTGTGTTGACTCTTCTGTGGGCACACATTGTTTAAAATTGTAAAGAATCCATAGCAGAAGTGCAGCAGTGTGGTGGCCGGCAACTGCGAAGGGACGGGTTTCAATACAAGTGCAGGAACTGGTCTTGAACTTCGCTGCACAGCGGGTTCACTCTCCCACCTCAGCTAGAAGCCACATGTGGTGGGCCGGGCAGCAGAGCTACAGGACAGGTGCCAGGCTCATTGTCAAGGTACAGTGAGCTGAGCATTTCCACGGCAATGTTTGAAAATTGCATCTGGGTCATGTACGTGGTAGGGAAGGCAGGGGTGTCATTCCCAGAAGCTGCCAGTTTCCTTGGGGAGTGGACACAGAAGGGATGCTCTACACCTTGCTTGCTGTGAAGGACTGAGGCCTGGGGCTTGAGCCCAGTGCCCCTGTTGTGGGTATCCCGGAGTCTTGGCATCCTTGCCCCAGGGGATGTGAGGGAAGGGCAAAACTAAAGTGAGGGAGGGAACAGCTCTGAAAGGGCCCAGTGGCACAGTGTCCATGCGGAAGCCACATCAAGTTCCAAGCATGTGACCCACTATCCTAGGAGCTCTTGGCCGTTTTCCCTCCTCCCCCTGGGACAAGTCAGGGCTCTTCCCCCTTAGCACCTTGTTGAGCCAAGCTTTCATGCCAGTGAAGGTGAACCTTTTAGAGCTTTCAATGACAACGAACAGCCCACTGCAGCATGTGTGCAGTACGTTCACCACCACTGTTCATGCCATCTCAGGCCTATGGGTGGGAGAAAAGACAGGGAGCTTCCAGAGGAAATGGGCCATGTCCCGTGTGTTCCCAAAGTACATGAGAAGCAATTAAGCGCCATATTTCCCCTTCATGGTGAAAATGGGAAGCTGTCACTCAGGCCCGACCCTGGAAGTCTCTTGGGTTTCTGCACAGAGCCGCTGGCTGAGAGAACTACTCCAGGCCCACAGGAGAGAGCAGTGAGCGCACTCAGGTTAAGTCCTGCCCAGAAGCTGCAGAGTGCTGGCTGGGCCCGGGCCATGGGCAGATGGCGGTGCTGGCTGCAGGATGCAGCCTCCCTGGGCACAGCTGAGTGACTTCTCCAACCACAGCAGCTTTCATTCTGGTTTTCTCAAAAGCACCTTTGCTTCGTCTCCTAAGGTTTTCCTCTCACTCCCTGTGCTGGCCCCTAGATTCAGAAGACCACTTGTCCCCTCAGCCTGCCTGCTGTCTGCCGCTCCTTCCTGCTGACCTAGCCACTGATCTGTCCTCATCTTGCTGCAGGTTAACAATGAGAATGTTGTCAAAGTCGGCCACAGGCAGGTGGTGAACATGATCCGCCAGGGAGGGAATCACCTCGTCCTTAAGGTCGTCACGGTGACCAGGAATTTGGACCCTGATGACACCGCGAGGAAAAAAGGTGCGTGCCCCTCTCAAGACTCTCTGCAAAGGGTAGGGGTAGGGCCACTGTGGGCAGATGGGACCACTCCAGAGTGCCCAGATATGGCATGAGGCTAAAATTGGCCACCAGGAATGTAACATTGACCTGGCGCCATGCTCCTGCCCAGGCACAGGCCCCATTGGTAAGATGAAACGAAGGGGCACAGAAAGCCTTTTAGCCACAAAAAGCAGCTATGTAGTAGCACCAAGGATACAGAATCCTGTGACAGCAGGTCATCCTGGGCTTGGAAGAAGATGCACAGAGCAATGCAGCCAGGGGATAGCACAGGAAGGATGCCTGGAGGCGGGAGCTGGAGACAGGAAGGCCAGGGCTGTCTCTCCCTAGAGAACTCTGGCTCCATCTCAGGAGGGCAGTGCCAAGCTTTCCCTAAAACCCAATATCAGCTGAGCAAAAAGCCTTTGTACATGTGACAGGGTGGGGCAGGGCCCTTGCCCAGTCTGGCAGTGGTGGGTAAGAGCTGAGCGCTCACAAACTGCCAGAACTATCTGTGGTCTATCAGCCATGCCCCATTAGTCACCAGCAGACTCTGTGCAGACGAACTGGACAGGCCTCTCTCCCTCCGTAGGCCGAGTGCCCATCGTACTCTATCTTAAGCAAACCCACATTGTCCCAAAAGGTCCAGCCCACAGAACTTCCTTGCCATGTGACTCACCCAGGCCACAGTGACACCTGCCCGGCCTTCCTACCTGCCAGCCTCTGCCCTTAGCCCTGTTATTGCCGTGTCTGGAGATGTGGGGAGTATGTGTACAGTATGGGGCCTTGCAGCAGTTCTCATTCCTATCTCTTTGTCTATCAAGCTCCCCCACCTCCGAAGCGGGCACCGACCACAGCCCTCACCCTGCGCTCCAAGTCCATGACTGCTGAGCTGGAGGAGCTCGGTAAGAGTCACCACCCAACCCACCCAGCTCGTGCTGCCCTGTGAGGCCCCAGCCCATGCATGGCCCCCCGCTGGCTTGCTTGTCTCCTTCAGTGACATTGTACCCCCTCCCTGCCCTGCATGGCTGGGCAGTTCTACATTTGGCATCACCCTGGGGAGCCTGTGGGTGTCTTTACTCTTTCCTGTTTGTCTAACATTGTTTTGTTTTGAATTTTTGGGCCTCTCACTAGTGGACAAAGGTAAGCAGACCTCAGGATCCCAGCAGCGGCTACCCTGCTGTCTAGGGTCCCCTACTGACTGCTGCCTTGGCTCAGCCTTGGAAGTCTGTGCAGGGTACACCCTGATGCAGCCAGACATGGCTCAGACCTTAAGGCTCCAGCACTTGGGGCCTTGGCTTGGATGGCATCGATACACCAAGTTTGGAGAGCACCCAGTGCCTTAAAAGGTCTGCAAAAAAGAGAGGCTCCAACCATTTGTCCCTGTCCTGTAGACTGGGCAAGGGTGACTATTAGCCATGCAGAGCATGGCGGAACTTTGGAGCAGACCTCTCAGATGGTGCTCAACACCATATGGGGAGACCAGGGACACTTCTGGAAAGAGTAGCTCTGAACCTTAGGATGGTAAGGGAGTGGAAATGCTTGCCCCACTGGCAGCAGGAACAGGACTGGTGAGGGCAAATCATGTGGGCACAGAAGCTAACCTAAGCTCCTGGCCCAGCAGGCTGAAAGTTGAATGGCTCTCGTTGGCCTTGCCTGGGCATCCCTTTCAACGGATGCCAGCCTCCCACTGGAGATCTTTAGCCCTCGCACATGAAAAACATCAAACACAGAAAGAAAAAAGCCTTCTTTGCTCTCCCATGGGAGAGGTCTACAAACCATGACCATCCTTCAGGGCCCAAGGCCATCCCTCACTCATCCTGGGGCTCAGCATACAGCTCTGGTCCTTTGGAAAAGGGTGGTCCTGCTGTGTGTCTCCCAGCTTTCTCCTTTTGTCCCATCCTTCACTGTCTTCACCTTATTATCGCTTCAAACACAACCCACTGGAGAAACCTCAGCCACATCCTCAGGAGGCACATTTTATGGGCAAGGAAAGTAGGAATGCTGACAGCAAGTCCAGAGTTGATTTTCCAGGGGCCACTGTGGGATCCTCTCAACAGGGACAGCAAATAGATCATCTTTTTAATGGGTGCCACTACAGGATATCCAGAGACCTCAGAGCTGGGCAGGACCTCAAGTGTCCTGAAAACTAACCTGCCACAGGCTGACTTGTATTCACGTCTGTCTCCCTGGAGCTCACATCCCACTTTGCAGGGTGCTGGTGGGGACAAGGGATGTAACTCAAGAAAGACAGTACCCTTCCACCACTAGGAAGGAGGTTCACAAGCAGGGCAAGAAGGAAAGAGAACCAAGATCCAGTTCTGGGAAAGCTGAACTTGCAGCTCTTCAGTGCCCCCAGTCCCCTGTCCCCCAGTGCTGGATCTCAGCCTGTCTCCCATGGCCACCTTGAGCTGGGCAAGGCACCAGGTGTAGGCTGCAGGCTGCTGTCCAGTGGTTCACAGCACTTCCCTTTCTGTTTGCAAGCTGCAGTCCGGAAGAAGAAGGGTAAGGGAAGCCCTAGTGTCTGTCTCTAATCCTCCTGCACATCACACCCCAGTAGAAGAGAAATTCCTCTTGTGACCATCATGTGAAGTTTACAATGTGCCGTGAACCTCATGTCGTCTTCTCCCTGTTTTGAGATCTTGCCCAAGGGCCCCAGCCCTGGAACAAGTCCCATTTTGGTCTGTTCAGTCTGCTTGACTTCTCCTGTCTGTGACTCCCTTGACATCTCCAGTATTTCCCCATGAACTGTGTCCATGTCAACATGACTGTGAAGTTACTGCAAACCCTTGGTGGTCACACCTGCCATGGCTAGGCAGAGGCCTTGGCACTCCCAGTGAGGCTCACCAGATGCTAAGCCACATGGGCTGCCAGTCAGGGGTGCAAGCACAGGAGCCCCTAGATGCTCCTGACCCTGGATTCCCTTTGCAGTGGGCAAATGCCGCCTGTTTCAACATAGTGAAAGTTTCCCTTGTGCTGGTGGCAGAGGCAGTTTGGGCCTTCTGCCCCATCATACGGTAAGATGTGGGGGGCAACAGTGTGGCTGTGCCACCATGACACCAGGCCCACATGTATTCTGAGAACAGAGCCCTTTCTTTCTCCAACAGTAGCCACATCTCAGATGTTTCTCACCTGAGATAGTTAAGCAAGCACTCTCCAACTGTATACTGAGACCTTGGCCAGAACAATTATAAGCAGCACTCTCAATTCAAAACCACTTTTTCCTTGGGCTGTAGGCACTGTGCCAAGAATATGCCACAGATGTAGCCACCCAGTCACTGAAATGAGGTGGGGGAGAGGCAGGGTTTACTGGAGATCAACTGGGCCAATAACAGAGCAGGACATGCTATCTAAAGCAGGAGGCAAAGCCTCTGTGGCCTCGCCTCTCTTTTCTGACCCTTCAATGCTAGTAGTTGTCCTGCAGCAACCTAGGCCTTCATACCACGTGAGGCTACCCAGGATGCCCCTAGAAGGCTTTCTAGGTCTTCCCTGTGTCAAGGACAAGGTGGATGCCCAGATACGAGATGTCCTTTTTCATGAAGGTCCTGGGGTTACTCTTCTATATAATCCCTTGCCCTGCTGAAGAAGGCAAAGCACCATAGGCTCCCAAAGACCCAGGTATCACATAGCTGGCCAAGAACAAACCACTGTCAAGAAGGATTCAGGACCCAGGGCAGTGAAGCCTCAGTGAGTACCTCCTATGGACTCCGCTGGAGCACACACAGAAGCCAGGGCAGATCCTCCCTGAGAACAAGCAAGAGTCCTGGACAGTGGAAATCTGCTTTCTGTTTGAACATCAGAGGAAACTGCCTGTAGACTAAATGCTCCCCCACCCCCAGGCTGGAACAGGACATGAGGGTGTGGGCAAGAAGATCCCAAAGGTCCCAGCAGCTGAGGCCCACCCCATTCTGTGAGGGACACAGGTCAGGCCAAGGGAACTGAGGAACAGTCACAGCCTCGGAGTGTTGCATGGGCTCCGGGGCCACAGCCCCTGCCAGCTTGAAGCCTCAGCTCCCATCTGTGCACTGGGGACTGTTTCTCACAGCAGGTACACAGGGGAGGCTCCACTTCTTTGGGAGGACCAGCCTAAACTGTTGGGTCCTGCCACCTCACTTCCTGCCCCACACCTCGACTGTGAACTTCCAGCCTCCAAAACTGAGAGGGTAAATGTCTGTCTTTTTGAGCCGTCTTGTTTGGGGCTTGTTTCTGCAGCGTTAAGAGGTTCCTGCAAAAGTGAAGCAGCCTCAAATCCCAGCTCTCCCAACAAGGCATGGTACTTTGCTTGCTAATCCTAAATTTTCACAGGGATCCTTTCCTAGTCCCTAGATACCATGCTGCACATTGGCCCCACGGCAAACATGATTGCCATCCAAGCCCTCATGGACACACAACCACCACGGGTGGCTCTGGAAGAAGCGGAAGTAGAGTTAACAGGGGGACGGGAGGCAGTTGTGAAGGGATCCATGACTTCCAACCAGGCTGAGCACCCCTGGCTGCACCCACAGACCCTGTTCCTGGGAAGGTGTGGCTTTTTGGAGCCTGCAGGGCCAACAGGGCCCAGACCACCCATGCAGCTTCTTCACTGCCTCTTGGGAGAACAGACCAGAGGCAGCTTGTCTGGTGCTATGGTATTTTGTTTTCCTGCTAGAAGTAGTGCCACAGAGGATGCCTGCACTGCGCTCTCACCTGAAAACTAACCTGCCACGGGCTGACTTGTATTCACGTCTGTCTCCCTGGAGCTCACATCCCACTTTGCAGGGTGCTGGTGGAGACAAGGGATGTAACTCAAGAAGGACCGTTACTCTTCCACCACTAGGCAGGGCGTTCACAAGCAGGGCAAGAAGGAAAGAGAACCAAGATCCATTTCTCCAGTTCTGAGAAAGTTGAACTTGCAGATCTTCAGTGCCCCCAGTCCCGTCCCCTAGTGCAAGTGGGATGCCACCCTGCATAAGGAGCAACACCAGTGATTCAGATGCATGTGGAGGGAGAGAGCAGTGGCCACCTTACACATAGCCACCCCCAGGCTACAGTCACCTTGGTGAGGCTCTCCTTATCCCCTGGGAGTCGGGAGGGTTGGCCAGCAGCCTCCCCCTCAGGGTTCCCTGCCTCCCTCCATGTGTGGTGATTAGAGTTCCTTCCTCCCAGAGTTTGGGGACTCTGTCCCACAAAGCTGACGACATCTGGCTTAGTGAGCACAGGACAGCAGCAAGCTATCTCCAACATGAGGGAACTGTACTCCCTCAGGGGATTCGCGATACCCAGACAGTTCATAGGCTGGGGGACCTGGTGACAGGCAGGGCAGGCCGTGCTTCCTTCCTGAGAAATGTGGCTGTGACACCCCAACCAGCCTGACAAACACACCGCCTGCCTCCCAAGCCATTCTTTCCTGCACCCAGAAGTTTGCAATTTATGGCCCTTCAGCAACACAACTGTCTTCTAAAGAGATCCTAACTTTGCTTAGAGAATTAAAATACGGGTCACTGCTGGAGCATTCATCAGCTTGTGAGCCGGTTGTTTTTCTTAAGATTTGCCGGTTTTCAAATCATCTACGGGATTATTTTCAGTCACCAAGTACTTCATTTTACCACTGCAGGGGTCTGGACTCAATAATCCTCTTCACCAAGTCCTTGAATAGAGACCCAGTTCCAAGCTTTTGTAAATCAAGCCTAATCCTCACGAGCCAGCAAGCACAGAATGGGAAACAGGAACTTGCAGTCTCACACTTTTCTTTTCTTAAAGGTCTTCATGTTCTAGTAAACAAGATCTCACAGACGGGGGCTGAGTGGTCAGGCCACCAGCTCCCATTGTCAGTGAATCAGGCAATGGGGGTGTTCTTCTGGTCATCTGAATCTCACAAAGAGCATAAACTCTAACTTTCAAAGTAACAATACCTCTGGCCTTACCACTTCCATAAACCAGGTTGCTCCCATGGTTCTATGGACTGGGGATGGAGCCAGAGGCACAAGATTTAAACAGAGACCAGGACAGTCCACATTCAAGGTGGCCCTGGTTCCAAGGGATGCACCTATCGTGACATGACCATGCTAGCCATCCTGACACAAGGTGAGGATGATGCCCTGACTTTATTATTATTAATTTTATATCTATCTATCTATCTCTGTCTCTCTACACACACACACACACACACACACACACACACACACACACACCAGGGATCAAACTCGGGTCCTTGCACTTGTGAGGCAGGCGGCAGAACCACTGAGCTAAATCCCCGGCCCCAGTGCCCTGACTATGGGCCATCCAACAATGTTTTCCAGCTAGGTGAAGCAGATCATTCTGATGGTAACCCTAGAGATTTTCAAGTAAGTGTTTTGCTGCCATGGCCCAAAAGAGCTAGGCACCCATATGGATAGCAGGCGGGGCCAGGTGAACTTCACTTGAGCTCAAGCGACTGCCTGGTCCCCCTAGCTGGGCTACAAGCCCGTGACACGGTGAAACTATCCAGTGGCCAGAGTGTCTGGTGTCTGAACTGATGGAGTTTGCTGGCCCTGTACTCCTGGTTCCTCTTGTGTGTTGTGTCCCTCCCAAAAGAAATCTGTCTTCTCACCTGCTCACTAACCTCCAATGCAGCAGCCACCTGTAGCTTTAGCTCTTCCTTTTGGAGGAGGCCACAAGTGCTGGGCAACTCTGTATGACCTTCTCAGAATCCCATCCACAGCACATCTTTTATTCCTCAAGGAAAGGAACTGGCATGTCCTACACATCTACCGGATGGCCTGGAGCATCACTGACCCACAAACTATTTTCTCTGAGAACTGGAACCCCTCCTCCTGCCCCACAGCTTACAGCCAGATCCTATGAAGAGAAATGAGATGAAAACCTGACTTCCCACCAGAGGCAAGGACTACTGTCACTGAGCGAGACACGCTTGACTCACCCGAGGCATGCCCATCCTTTAGGCATGTTTTCAGGGTGCCTGCTCCTTCAGGGCACATGAAGAGTCTAGGTGGTACCCCAGGATGCTTGCCATATTCCTCCAGTACTGTGAGTGGGTATGAGCCCACCCTATCGGCTCCAGAGCTTAATGCCAAAGAAACAGACTCACAGCTTCTGCAAGGGCTCAGCACCTCAACTCAGCCACAGGACAATTGCTCCTGCTGTGCCCCTCACCCACAATATACCAGACATACCCCCAACACAGCCAGCCCTGGATGCCGGCCTCCATGCCACGCCCATGCCCTTCTCTACAGGGCCATACCCTCTGCGTCCCATATCTGTCACCTCCAACAGTGCTCAAAGTTGAAAATTTTCCCTCCCCCAAGCATCCAGCCCCACCTGCCTCCTTCAGCCACTGAGTTCAATCTGCCCAGAAGCCAGGTGCTCCCTGGACCTCTCCCAGATCTCAAATCAATGGGTCCTGGCCCAGGCATGTGCAGGACATGCAGCCCTGGGCTCAATGCAGCCAGGAGGGAGCCTTAATTTATTCCAACAGTGTGTGCAGATGGGAGGTGGATGGATTCTTCAGCTGCCCCAAAACCCTGCACCTGGAAGGCCCCACAGTGTTTTTTGGGGATCAAGTCACTCCTTCCCTATCTGGGTTCATGTTAGGGGCTTAGGTTTCTGGGTCCCCCAGGCCTCTCCCTCCATAGGAGGCAGAAGAGGGAACAGGACCAGTACCACGGAAAAGAGCTGGTGGCTCTCAGCACTCTGTGAGGTCCTGTCCTGGGTCTCACTGCAGTGATGGGATATAGCATCCTGATGCTAGAGAAATCCTGGCCCCTGTCTTGGATAAAGACACTGCTAAGCCACTAGCAGCCATATCATAGCTGAAGCAAAACCAAAGAGCCAATGTCAAAGGACATCGTCAAGGGATATATTCAAGGAACAGACCAAGTTGGACCTACATGTGTGAGGCTGGCTCATCAGAGGAGGATCCATACGTCACCAGAACTAAATCAAGAGATAGCAAGACCCAGCAAACAGGCATGGTGGTGGTAGAGGAGACCTATGTTCAATATGAGCCATCAAAAGACATACATGAATCCTAGCTCAAACTTGCAAGGGGAAGGTTTCTCCAAGGAAGCAGATGACCAAGATGGCAGCAGGTGGGCACAAATGACAAGACACAGGAAGGAAGAAAAGCCAGGACGTTCCAGCAAGAAAAGCTGGACCCTTGGAGGGTGACAAAGAGGGTCCCGGACACAGGTGAAGGTGTCCCCACTGCCATCAGCAACAAGGTTTGGCATTTCTTACCATACCCCCAGAGGGGCAGGTTCTCACCATGCACAAGGGGAAATCTATGTTTTCAAAAGAGCCAGAGAAGACACTGTGAGAGGCACACGCAGAGGGGCTGGGTGAGCCTGCAAGCCCAGTCAGCTGATGAGAGTGAAGGAAGCAAGAATCTGAAAGCACCTGCTGGGCTTATGGGGGTGGGACCAGTAGAAAGGTTAAAGTCCTCCTTGCCCTGCATGACTTACATAACCCTACTAGCAAGTAAACCAGGATAATGGCACAGACCAGGGTCCACAAAACTTCCGCTAAAGGGCCAGTGACCATTCGAGCTCTATAGGTCACCTGGTCTCTTGCATATCCTCTCTCCTCTTTTCATATCTCTATAAATCTGGAGACTGCTTGGAGGCTAACAGAATGTGAGACCTGGTGAGGGCAGGATACAGACTGCAGCTATTGCTTAGGGACCCCTGGAATCTGCCACCTTGTCTGGAATCGGCCACCTTCCACCAAGTCAGGGCTGTGAGGGCACTGGCTGCTCCAAGAGGTCAAGGGACCATGACATGTGCCAGCCAGTCCCCTCCCTGACACACTCCCTTCCCACTTCCCCCCGCCTGATGTGTGTGAGGGGAGTTGTTGGGTTTTGCCTGCCTTCTCGGACAGTGGTACTTTCATCCTGGGCTTCGTTGGGCAGTGCTGTGGCTCTAGGGAACTCTGCCAGTGTATCACCTCCTCTTAAGAAGTTGCCTTTGCAAGTGCCTACCACAGGATCTTGAGGAATAACTTGGAGACATGGCCTTCTCATCTGGCACTCATTTCAAAGGGAGCCACCAGGCCTCGCAGACAGGCTGAAATTGCTAAGAGAAGGTCTTAGGGCGCAGACAGACTGTTTGGAGGCCTACTGCTCCTGCTCCTGCCCAGAATGCTCATGAAGTGCACAACTAGGGTTAGCGAGGCTCTTCCCATGCATGAGGGCAGGGCCAGGGTCACTCTGTAGGTCTCGGTGTCTAGGGTCCCTGTGCTCCAGTAGCCTGAGAAGGGCCCTTATACCTGATCTCAGATCTCCCAGAGGCAGAGCCAGTTCTAGGATGTGTTTCCGTTTTCAAATTAAAACAGGTTATGTTTTAAATTTCCCTTTTTAAACATTTCTAATTTCTAAGGATCATTTAAACCTTTGGCTTTCTTTTTCAAGAAAAGTGGGGACATTCTACTGTGGGGAGAATAACAGGAACTTCCTTATGCAACATGTGCTAACATCTGGGGCCTCTGGCACCTACCCTGGCTTTCTAAGTACACGCTTTCAAAGGCCCAGCTTTGGGTGCAGTCCCGGTCTTGGAAATTGCATGTAGTCACAAAAGGGAACCATGATTTGGAGTCACTTTGAAAAGTTTCACAAATTAGCAAATACCAACAAGAATAAATTCCATTGGTGAGAAAAAAGTGAGTCTCTGAAGAAAGGAGAGCTCCAGAGCCCTGGGGGAGAAGAGGCCGCATTGTTGAGTATTCTGGGCCGTCTGTGTCCAGGTCGCCTAGGCCTTGAGGTCAGGAGGACTGAGGGCACCCTGGCAGCAATGCGTGGGACAGGGAGAGACGTGCGCGTGCTCTCTGTGACAGGCTCGCCTGCGATTTCAGGCACTGGTGCAGTTGCTGCGTTTCCGCACTCTCCCAACTGTGTTCACCCTCCTGACTGGGCTGTGGCCACTCTAATCCCCACGGTTATGTTGCAGATAAACCAGAAGAGATAGTTCCGGCCCCCAAACCTTCCCGGGCTGCTGATAACGTGGCCATGGAGTCGAGAGTGGCGACCATCAAGCAGCGGCCCACCAGCCGGTGCTTCCCAACGGTTTCAGATATGAATGTGAGTGGCTGCGACCCTGGGACTGTGGGGTCGGGGCCTGCAGTGGACTGGGAGGCAGTCAGGTATGACTCAGCATGGGCAGAGGGCTCTCAGAATGGAGGTCCACTCCCTCCACTGTGCACGCTCAGAGCCAAATCCAAGGGGACACAGGATGAATACCCTAGTCCAGTGCAAGGCCTGCAGTGTGGGCACAGAACAGCTGGAGCCCAAGCCTCATCTGCCCTGCACTCTCAGTTGAACTGCTCAGCCCCAAGCCCGGACGGTGTCCCACACCACATGCTCAGCTGAGGGTTTGTGAGCCGCGGACATAAAGGACCTTGGAAGTAGACCTCAGACAGAGGGATCTGGATTCATTACTCCAGGATAAAAGCAGCTGTCTGGCCAGAAATACAGACAGTGGTCCTTCGTAAGCAGAGGCCTCCACACAAACATCTAACAAAGACCGAGACTGGGCTCAGGTCAGGTACCGTTACAGTGCCTCCTTCCCCGGACCATCAGGCATGATCCTCAGCTAGGGAAAGGGCACTGGCTGCTGACACCCTGCCTCCAGCATGTCCTGGCAAAGCCAAGGCCTCTCATACCTCTGGGTTACTTCTCACTTTCCCACAGGCAGGCAGCCAGCCATCAGTGCCCCTCTTGGTGCCTGGAGCCAGGCCCGAGCACTACACATTATGGTTACTTAGCTTAGTATTTTCGTTGGTCCAGTTTCAAATTGGCTTAGTTTAATCTAGCCTTTTTAAACAATAACACCTACAAATATTATAGTTTTGCCTTGAGAGTTATGTAACAGATATTAAAATAAACACCGCTGTTAATGATTCAAATCCATGTGCTCATTTCAGCCCTCACCTTCAAAACTTCACAAGGTAGCACCCCTATTCGTTGACACATCCACATGCCCCACCTAGACCCGGACAGTCTCCAACCCCTGACCAGCCTTTAGGACAGCCCTTGACCTCCCAAGGGCCAGGTTCTGGCTTCCCTCCCCAGACTCAGGGCTGCAGGCTGAGACAGACTGTGGAGACTATGGGGCAGGTCTATTTCCATGCCAGGATCATAAAAGTGTGCACATAAATGTTTCCAGTGAGGGTCTGCATCTGGATTGTTCTGAGCCCCTCTGCAGGTGGCAGAGCACTGGCTGTCCAGCAGTTTCAGTTCTGCAGACAAAGCAGTGCCAATGGAAGTGCTGAGGGAAAGGTTCAGGTGTGCAGGGAGTCCACCTTCAAGATAGACCACAGAACTCTCAGCATTTCCTAGAGCAGGCCTGAGGAAGGATGACACCAGGAACAGCTTCCTCCCATGGGCTCAGTGCCACCATCCAGAAAAATCTTACAGCTCACTCAAGCTGGCCAGCACAACTCACCACCCACACAATGCACAGTACCTGGTCACCTTCATGCATACTGTGGGATGTACTGGCTTGTTTTACAGAAGAAAACAAAGGCCAAGGTCACAGGGCACATGGAGAGCAAAGCTATAGGCCTGGGTCAGACCCCACTGCTCTGTGGTATCTATCCTGGCCCAATTCTCTCACAGATGTGTCTGCCCAGCTGGTCTACTGATGATGTCACTGTCACCTCTGCTGCTCAGAGCAGGGCCTGTTGTACCTCACACCATCAACACTGAGGAGAAAGGCTCAGGGAGGGCTGTTCCCTAAGTTCACAGTTGTGCCTGTGAGCAGTCACTAGAGACTTTACACTGCTCCTGGGGAAGGCAGGGACCAGCACCTGCTGTGTCCAGAGCTCCCTTGCTGCCCTCTAGCCATCACCATGTGATGGGCTGGCCAGGGCCATGTCTCACCCTGGCTTTTGGGTTTGCAGTCCGTGTATGAACGCCAAGGGATCGCTGTGATGACGCCCACTGTTCCTGGGAGCCCCAAAGGCCCATTTCTGGGCCTTCCTCGAGGTACGATGCGAAGGCAGAAATCGATAGGTAAGAAGCGTGACCTTCACCCGAAGAAGTTGCCCCTTGGCTTTCACATACAGTTCTCAGAGCCCCTCGGGAGTTCTGGCCTCGGGGCCCCCCAGGTTGCCCTGGCATCCTTGCCATGCCAATCCCCATGAGGCCTATCCACCAAAAAGGCACCTGGCCTTACCTGTTGGGTAGCCATTTGAACATAGGAAGGGTATGAACCTTCCCACCCCAAAGGATACAAAATCCATGTGCATTCTCTAATTCTGAAGCCAGTTTATTTGGGACAATACCAGTGGGGTGAAGGGGACCATACACCAGGAAGGACAATGAGGGGAGGACAGGAGTGGGCAGGGTAAGTGGACACCCTACGGTCCTAAATTCGTAGGATGAGCTCAATGGACATACTTCTCCAGGTGGCTGGGTCAGGTTCTTGAACTCTAATGGAACAGTGCACTCTGTGTTGTAGAAAATGGCTTACCTTCCTTGTAATACCCCAGTCATTCCACAGACTCTGACAGGTCCAGGCAAACTGGACCCCTTGAGACGGTCCCTTTGGGAGCGAATCCAGCATTGCCTTTACCATGTCAACTCTCCTAGAAGTCAAGGCCCCTGCCGGACATGGTGAACCCTTGCTCTATAAAGAGAAGAGTGTGTGCAGCTGCTGCCCCATGCTCCAGCCTCGGCCTCCAACCTCCCGGCAATGCCGCTAGAGACAGGACTCATTTGTTCTGGTTTAAGGAGGATGACAGTAGGCAGCACCTGAGCGTTAGGTGACCGTGGTGGTGTCTGCTGCTCGTCAAGCTTGCCCACTCCCAACGTACTCAGGGCTTCTGGCAAAGCTGCACACCCACCATGTTATATGACTGCATCCTTACTGGTTAATAACAATTGATTTCCTCCTGTCAGACAGCAGAATCTTTCTATCAGGTTAGTGAATGCCTCCAGTTTGGAATCTGTAACTTGAATGTACCCCAGTTTACTGTATAAGGTGTATTCTTAAATTATTACTCCTTGGGAACTTAAATGTCAGGCAACCAACACAGAGCAAATGGTCAATACAGATGCCTTTAGCAACCAATCACAGCGATGCTTAGTTATCCTCCCATAAGGAGTATGTTAAATTTGGAATACCCTTATCAAATGAAAGTTTTCATTGGAACAAATGATTGTAGTTTGTCTTAGGAGTTTTTTTTTTTTTTTAATTTCAAGTAATTTGTTTTGTTGCCTCTAAAAAACCTGCATGCCCCTGTGAGACCCTGGTCCTTGGTGTCACTGTGCATTGCTTCTTGTCTGTGTGTTCATGTCGTAGACTGCTGCCGTTTGTAGTCACACCAGTTGGCACATCCAGAGGTGCTCAGGCTCCACTATAGCCACCACAGGGCTTCAGCCACCTTCAACATCCACACGCTTCCATCATTCATGTCTCAGAACGTGGCTTGAATTGGTGCCAAATCAGCTAAATTTGGGTTCTGGTGATCACAATGACCTGCCATACCCCTCTGCCCAGCTCTGGAGGGTCCAGTCTGGACCAGCGTGGAGCTCACCAGGTCCCCTAGGAAACACTGCTCAGGGTCCTGCTCCTGTGTGGGCTGTGTGGGCCACCTTCTCATTAGTTAAAAGGGATCAAGGCTCACTACCCTCATGGGCATGTTCCAGAACCCCCAAGTCAGCCGCCTCACAGCCATCATGCGAGGGCCCAGGAGACTCCAGTATGCACAGAGTCCTCCATATGGCCCAGACAATCCAGGTGACAGGATGGGTTTGTGTTACCTTGGAACCAACACGGTAATACCGTCGCCTCTTATTAGTATGCACAGGACCCCGACAGGCAGACACTCCCCTAAGGGGTGGCAGGTCTGGCTGCACACATGGGCAGGAACATAGTCCTTGGCTCTGCGCACCATATGTGCCATGTGAGCAGATGCCCTGTGCCCTCCAATGGGAAAGTGACCACCTCAGGCCTCCAAGTCTGACAGGGGCAAGGAAAAAAGGTTCTTGGTCTAGCCAGCCCACTCTGCCATAAGAGTGCACTCATACTGACGTATACACACACGCACATGCAGCCACAAGGAGCCTTGGCAGGTGGGGTTCAGCCTAGAGAGCTGCACACAGCCTGGCATCAGGCCCTTGCTGCCCTGACCTTGTGCTGGGCACCACATGTCTGGAGAATGACTCACTGCACCCCTGCACCTGTCTTCTTTCTGTTTTTTGGCTCAAAGTGGGCCATATAACTAACCTTGCAGCATTGTGGCTTTTGTTGTGTTTCATAACAAGCGTACGCTGTCTAAGTTTGTGGAGATGTAGTGGGTTGCACAATCCTAAAAACTTTAGAAGGCTTTTTCTTATTGTTATAATTTAAACCTGTTTTCTACTCATAGGAATAACAGAGGAAGAGCGACAATTTCTGGCCCCTCCAATGCTGAAATTCACCAGAAGCCTGTCCATGCCAGACACCTCTGAGGATATTCCCCCTCCACCACAGTCTGTGCCCCCATCTCCGCCACCACCTTCCCCCACCACCTACAACTGCCCCAAGTCCCCAACTCCAAGAGTCTATGGGACAATTAAGCCTGCATTCAATCCAAATTCCATCGCCAAGGTGTCTCCTGCCACCAGGTCTGACACAGTGGCCACCATGATGAGGGAAAAGGGGATGTTCTACAGGAGAGAGCTGGACCGCTACTCCCTGGACTCAGAAGACCTCTACAGTCGGAACGCCACCCCCCAGGCCACCTTCCGCAACAAGCGGGGCCAGATGCCTGAGAACCCATACTCAGAGGTAGGGAAGATCGCCAGCAAAGCGGTCTATGTGCCTGCCAAGCCTGCCAGGCGGAAGGGCATGCTGGTGAAGCAATCCAATGTGGAGGACAGCCCCGAGAAGACGTGCTCCATCCCCATCCCCACCATCATTGTCAAGGAGCCCTCCACCAGCAGCAGCGGCAAGAGCAGCCAGGGCAGCAGCATGGAGATTGATCCCCAGGCCACAGAGCCACCGGGCCAGCTGCGGCCTGATGACAGCTTGACCGTCAGCAGCCCCTTCGCCGCTGCCATTGCCGGCGCTGTCCGTGACCGGGAGAAGCGGCTAGAAGCCAGGAGGAACTCCCCAGCCTTCCTCTCCACCGATCTGGGGGATGAGGATGTGGGGCTGGGGCCGCCCATCCCCCGGGTGCGGCCCTCCAAGTTCCCTGAGGAGGGTGGGTTTGGCGATGAGGAGGGCTCCGAGCAGCTGGTGTCACCCACGCCGGGGGCATCACCAAGGGAGCCTGAAAACCACTTCGTGGGCAGTGGTGAGGCTGGTGCTCAGGGAGAGGCCGGGAGGCCCCTGAATTCTGCATCCAAAGCCAAGGGGCCTGAGGGCGGCCCAGCAGCGCCCCCCAAAAGCAGCAGCACAGCCAGCCCTGAGAATTACGTCCACCCCCTCACTGGACGGCTGCTTGATCCCAGCTCCCCACTGGCCCTGGCGCTGTCTGCGAGGGACCGAGCCATGAAGGAGTCCCAGCAGGGGCCCAAAGGGGAGCCCCCCAAGGCTGACCTCAACAAACCTCTCTACATTGATACCAAAATGCGGCCCAGTGTGGAGACTGGCTTCCCTCCAGTCACCAGACAGAATACCCGAGGGCCCTTGCGGCGGCAGGAGACAGAAAACAAGTACGAGATGGACCTGGGCAAGGACCGGAGAGGTGAGGACAAAAAGAACATGCTCATCAACATCGTGGACACAGCGCAGCAAAAGTCAGCCGGCCTGCTGATGGTGCACACCGTGGACGCCACCAAGACAGGTGCCCCCCTAGAGGAGGAAGAGGAAAGAGATGATGTGGACGTAAAGCCAGACCACTTGCCCTCCACAGTGCCAGAAGGCGTTTCCGAAACCGAAGGTGCTTTACAGATCTCCGCTGCCCCCGAGCCCACCGCCACGCCCGGCAGGACCATTGTGGCGGCGGGCTCCATGGAAGAGGCAGTGGTTTTGCCATTCCGCATCCCTCCTCCCCCTCTGGCATCCGTGGACTTGGATGAGGATTTTATTTTTACAGAGCCATTGCCTCCTCCCCTGGAATTTGCAAATAGTTTTGATATCCCTGATGACCGTGCTGCTTCTGTCCCTGCTCTCACTGACTTGGCAAAGCAGAAGAAAAGTGACACCCCCCCGTCCCCTTCGTGGAACTCTGGCCAGCCAGCTAGCTCTGCAGACAGCAAGAAGCCAGCCAGCCTCTCAAACTGTCTGCCCACCTCGTTCCTGCCACCCCCCGAGAGCTTTGACGCAGTCACGGACTCCGGGATAGAGGAGGTGGACAGCCGGAGCAGCAGCGACCACCATCTCGAGACAACCAGCACCATTTCCACCGTGTCCAGCATCTCCACCCTGTCCTCTGAAGGCGGGGAGAGCATGGACACCTGCACGGTCTATGCAGACGGGCAGGCGTTTGTGGTTGACAAGCCCCCCGTACCTCCAAAGCCAAAAATGAAGCCCATAATTCATAAAAGCAACGCACTTTATCAAGATGCGCTCTTGGAAGAGGATGTAGACAGCTTCGTCATCCCCCCACCCGCGCCCCCACCCCCACCAGGCAGTACCCAGCCCGGGATGACAAAGGTCATCCAGCCAAGGACCTCCAAGTTGTGGGGTGATGTCACGGAGGTCAAAAGCCCTATTCTCTCAGGCCCAAAAGCAAATGTCATTAGTGAATTGAACTCAATCCTGCAGCAAATGAACCGAGAGAAATCGGCAAAGCCAGGGGAAGGACTGGATTCACCGGCAGGAGCCAAGTGTGCCAGCCTCCCTCCCAGGTAAGTTTGCAGGTGGCAGTATGCAGAGCGCACACTGTCACACGCTGACCAAGAAAAGCCACTGGGGAGTGACCAAGCAGCTGAACGTAGGGCTTTTGCAACTCTTTGATGCTGTTTCCTGTGTCATCCTGGACAGCGGGACAGCAGAATCAAGGCAGTCCTGGCAGGGCATGTTGCTCCCTTTCTGAGATACCCAATGAAAGGAGGTCACACACAGCCATCCCCACTACAACTTTCAGAGGGGCTCAGCTCTCTTCTCGGCACCCTCACACCTTCGCCAGAACCACAGAGGCTGGGTTGAACTTGCCAAAGCCCAAAGAGCACTATGAGGAGCTCAGCCTTGCCATAGGGGGGATGGTGAGAGGGTGAGCATCGTGGCTAGGTATTCCCCCTACCCAGTCAACCTGCTGAGGGCCTGAGGGCTGGGCGAGGTCCTGAGCTACAGCTTTCCTGGTGAATTCGGTGTTACGCACATGCTTTTCTGCCAGCCCATCCTACCTTGAGGCAGACATCATAGAGAAAAAACCTCTGCCAACCTTTCACAGCATCCTGGGGTTTAAGTGAATTTCATTGGAACTGAAGGAGGGTGGATGAGGAGTCATTTCTAAACCCAACCAGAAGGCTCTATGTACATATGCCACACTCTAAAGTGGCCCATCAACCATGTGTTATTTCTGAATGATGTACACCACAGCCCCACTGGCTCCCACCATCCCTCAAGGTTCTTGGTTTCCTCTCTTCCCCATGACGTGCTGTCTTGCTATTCCCAGGCAGGGTGTTCTTCAGCTTTTCCCACTGATGTTTGGTCTCAGGTTTCATCATTTTGACTAATGAAGTCTTTCTTCATTTTCCTGCTGGGCAGACATCTGATTCCAACAACTCAGGCCATTAATCAGGGATATCACACTGAAGTTGGGTCTTGAGATGTGGGCTGAGAGCCACAATTTTCCCAGGTACCTTTCAGTGTGGATGTAAATAAATTTCTTGGATGGCTCCCATTACTCTTCAGAGGAATTATCAATTGGCTCTGTGGTAAAGATGCATGATGATGCCTCTTGTCTATTAATAGGGCTCCCCCACTACCAATGACATTCAAATAACACCTCCAGGTGCAAAGAAATTCCTCGTGTGCCCAGCATGTTTCTCTACTGGCTGAGGGAAATGCATTAGGAACTCCCCATTTCTGGTGAATGTGTATACACATTTGCACTTATTATATACCTAGAAGTCTCAAGGAAATCTTAAAAATAAGTCATTCTGCCTCTTCCCGTTATGTAATAATATAGTTCTTCACGCTGTCATTCCACATGTAGAAATCACAGGTAAAGCCTCATCTAAGCGTTTTGCACTTTTACCTGCTAGGTAGTGTTTATGACACCAGAGCAGGGGCCCAGGTGTTCTACAGAGGCTGGGTGGCTCACCCACATGCACAGCCAGCAGATGCCAGAGACAGGACTCAGCCCAGTTTCCAACCTCTGGCCTCCCCTTTCTAGCGCTGTCTGCAGGAAGTACGGAGCTGAGAGAACTCCAGGGCTAGAGAAAAGAATTTACTGTTCAGGCTAGGGGAGCAGCCTACCCCAAGCCAGGATCCCTTGGGCATATCCACTCGGTGTGTCCAGGGGTCTCATCCCCCAGGGCCTGCCTAAACAGCAGCTGGGCAGCTTGCCTCTTCCAGTCACTCCTGGGCTGCTCAGAGCAGAACAGCATCCTATCCTGCATGTGTCCCTGGGGCCTTGCTGCCCTGGCGCTCTCTAGGTGGACACAGGCAGGGAGGAGCCTCAGATAGGCATCACCTGGCAGAATCCTGGTGGACTTCCTCAAGATAGCAGCTGTATGATCACCCACAACCCACACTCTATGGCCAAGAATGGCCACCTCCCAGACTAGTTGCTCACAATAACATTCACCAACACCTACAAAGCACCTGCCATGTGCTGGGCATCAGTTCCCACCTATACCACCAGCAGGGCTATAATTATTCCCACTGCACAGTCAAGGAAGTTGGAGGTCAGAGCAATGAGGCAAAGGAGCCAGTGCTACTTAGCCAGAAGGCATAGGTCTAAACCACCCACCTAGGAACCTGGCTCAGAGCTTGACTTCTGTCATCTCTCTGGAATTAGAGATTTCCTTGGAAGGAGGGGCCAACTCTTGGATGACTATCTGCAAGGCTGAGAATGCTGGCAGGATGGCAGTGCTGCTCTTGGGCCTAGAAATTTCTGTGGCTGATAATAGGCAAGTGCAGTCACTAGATGTATGCAATACTGCTGAGCAGCCAGGGCCATTTGCTTCCAGCTGAGGGTTACACTCAGTTAGACAGAGAATAGGTCGGCCCCAAGGTCAGAGAGCAGAGATGAAGTTCAGTGACTCGGGGCACTAAAATCAGCACACAACTCTGACCCCTCCTTTTCTGATCTAACAACCTCACCAGGTTGGGCACTGGGGACATAGCCATTGGGAATGTGAGCTGCAGTCTGGTCTAGTCGGGGTGGCAGTCGATACAGACATCCTGCCCCAAGTGTGTGTGTATATATAGATAACAGACAGCACTTAACTTGCTCACAAGATGTCTTAGGGAAGGCTTCTCCTACTAGGCTTGGGGTCATTTACTCTGAGGCACTCTCGGCCTGGGCATGTCTTCAAAGGCAACTAAAAATTCAGAGTTGTGAATGGACCTGAATAAAATAAGGCTCAAAACTGGATGGAGGAGATTCCCTAGAAGTTTTTCTAGGGAAAATTGAAAACTGACCCATGCTTTCTGAAATAACAGTGGTGCAAAAATCCCATTTCCATAGAAACAAATTTTGATCACCAAGAAAGGGATGAATTTCAGAGCTAATCCTGTCATTCACTCCAGTGATGGCGAACCTTTCAGGGCTTTCAGTGATAACAAACAGCCAGCTGCGGCACACGTGCCATAGATTCACCACCACTGCTTTAAAGCAACTTTCACCCTTAGATTCTTTCCTAAAATGCTGAGGATGAGACTGTTCTTTACCAGGGATCCAGGAGAAAAGGAGAAAGTTAGTTCCTAGGTTCCTGCTTTCTTGGGCATGTTTGATCTGAGTTCCTGCTTCTTAGAGGTACTCCTCAAAGTGAGCGATACAGTGAGAATTGGAAATGTCTTGATTAAATACATGTTGTCAAAAGAAGACAATCAAATTAATTTTCTTGTATACATAGTGCTAGAGGCAGCTCTTGGCTTGACTTGAAAACCCTGCCAAGACTGAAGCCACCAGGCCATTCTAGGACACCTGGCCTGATTATGCCTCATCTCTGGAGAATCTTTAACCAGCTCAAAGCAAAAGAACGAAGTTGTACTTTGAGCATGGGGGAGTCTCCAGGAGAAGTTGCTCTTTTCTCAGGCAGAACCAAGGCAGCAGTTGCTAACCCACAGGCTTCCCCACCCAACAGTACCTCTGGCTGGACCACAGCATGCAGCCTAGGCCTTGCTAGCCCTCCCCGAGGGACCTCAGAGCCCAGTGAATGACCATCAACCCAGCCACAGCCCTTTGGGCTCTCTCACAGTACAACTGCATGTACAAACGCATCACCAACAATTATCAAATGTACTTCATTTGCACCATGCTTTTTACATTCAAAGACCTTCAGTAACCTATCGATGCACTTGATCTTCCTTCACTACACTGGAGGTGTTAAGACATGGGCAGAATCCTTGCCATTTTGTGAATCAAGGAGCAGAACATTTGGTGCCTTGGTTAAAGTCACATCCCTGGGGACATACAGAATACCCAACTGCAGACCTAGAAAGCCAGCTGGACATAGTCTTCAAGCTTGGACCACAGCCCATGGTCTTCCAAGTTCAATGGTCAGGAGTTTTACCAAGCTGCTGCTTTGTACAAGCCTGATACCAGGTCTGTGAAGAGAAACAAGAGAAACGCACCAAGGAAGATGCAAAACCCTCCAAAGCTGGTCAGCAGATCTGGTCGTCAATCTTCTTTCAACGTGCCACACACCATGCTGAGCCCAGGATTTACCACTGATGAAGAAAACATTCCTGTGCCTCTTCCCTTGGGGAGCTCAAACTCTTGAAACAGGAAATGGACAATAAATACCAAACAAGATAAACCCAAACTGTGGCAAATTTTGTGAAGGAAGCAAGGTGTTCTAATGGGTTGGTGATCTCATAAAGAGAGGAGCTGGCAGCCTGAGGAAGTGATATTTGAATGACTTAAAATATCCAAAAGAGTCAGCTGTGCAAAGAACCAGGAGCCCATGCCTTAGCAAGATGCAGAAAAGCACTTTCTATGCTGAGGAGACTGGGCCAGGTGGCAGGGTGGGGTCAAGCCACAAAGAGCAAGGGATATGGGGCTATGGGGGGAAATGGGATCAAATTCCAAGGGACAACAGCCATCAGAGGGCTTGCTGAGGCTTGGCATGACCATGATTTTGCTTCCTAAAGATTACAAGGCTCCTGTGTGGACAGGACATCACCTGATAACACAGACTGCTCTGGGAGCCCAAGTCTGAGATGAGGGGCCTGCGCTTCTGAGATGAGCACGTGGGTACCAGGGAGAACTACCCAAGGAACCCAGGAGACTACGACCTAACAAACTAGCTGTGACTTGGGAAATCCAGATATCATCTTTTCCCCAGCCTTCCTGAGATATAATTGACAAATACCAGATAGCATTTTTAAAGCTAGACTAATCTGGTGTTTTTCAATGACACTTCCATGGAAAAGGTTAACTTTGCTTTCAATGAGTCTGTGGGAGGAACAGAGCAGTGTGTGCGTGCTTGTGGGTACCCTGTGGTTTCCGCCAGAGGAAATGGCACATGCTGGGTACCCTCTGGAATGCCAGCCCTCAGTGGTGGTCCAGAAGAGCCTCAGGGTTGGCCTTCTGCTGGCCGAGGTTCAGACTGGCCTGAGAAGAATTATCTCATAGTACAGGTCCCAGAAGCACCAGGTCCCCAGCCTGCTCCCAAGGAGATGCTCTACCTCGACACAGCTCATCTGCCTCCCCTGCCAGTGCCCCAGCTCCCCACCGGCTCCCAAAATACTGTCCTAAGAGCCTCTCCATTTTAAATAAATCATTGTGGGTTTTTTTTTTAAATTATCTCTGCCAAGCTGTTCTAAGAGCAGACTCCTAAACTGCCAGGATAACAGAGGTGCTTGATGGCGTTTCCATCACCCAGCCACACCAAGCACTTGGCATGTGCTGTACCAATTGATGGGAGGGTGATGGGTCATACCAGTGAGAGGCCCTGGAATTTGCTATCGGTGTTTTGCTTCTTGGGGATGGTACTGGACAGTCTCTGGCCTGGCAGGAATGAATCCCTTGGTCATCAAACGGCAGGTTCAAGTCTTGCTCACTTTGCATTTAGAGTGGGAGGCCAGCATTTCTCCATGAAAACTGGGTACCATCTCCATCTGCTGAGGTGTAAGCTCCTAGCAGGGAGACTGGGTCCCTCCCTCTCGGAATGGTAACTGAAGTGCAGAGGAGTGCCTGAGCACAGGAAGGAATCCAAGCTGAAAAGCCTGGAACCCCAGCATTAGTGCTGGGCCTGTGAAGGACAAGAGGAGTGCGCAGAGCCTTCTCATGCCCGAACAGCCTCGGGCCCACAGTGCTGCTTCTGAGCCAACCTAAATCTGTGAACAGAGGGAAGGCTGCTTGCATATCCCCACACCACTACTACCACCTATCCTTCCTGATGAAAATGCAGCGTGTCCAGAGCTCCTGATTCCCTCTTGGGCTGGTTTTATTATTATTATTATTATTATTATTATTAATTTTCTATATGGGATTGATTTTAAAGGCAGGCTACTGAGTGATCATCCAAGAGAGGGTGTGTGTATGAGTATGTGTGTCTGTTCTAAATCAGGACAACAGATTCCTGTGAGTTCCGCCCAGCAACTCAGTGGTTGCTAAGCAACATAATGATCTGTGCACGAGGGAGGATCCAGTGAATCATATCAGTGTGATTAACCAAAAGGGAATCAGGCCACCTCGAAGACACAGACTGAGCCAGCTAGCCGGCCCTTCATTGTGCTCCAACTCTCTGGTCATGTTCCTCTGTAGCCACGCTGGGTGGGGGGACTGGCAGGCCCAAAGCACGTGACCAGGTCTGACACCCCTGCAGTCAGCCGCTGGGCTGTCTGACATGTCCTGGTACCGACCTGAAGCAAAGGCCTGGTCAGTGGAACAGCCTGCCCCAGTAGGAGCACTGATTTATCCTTCCCAAGTTGAAGAAGGGAAAATACAGCCCCAGAACCTGTGCTGGGAAATTAGCAGGAAGCTGGTTGTCTTCCTTCAAGCAGAGGCCAGCCCCTTCCAGGGCCACGCCTCTGTCGTTCTGAAGAGCTTGACATTGTCCCAAGCCAAAGATGGCAAAGCTGTAAACTCCAAGGGCTCTGTGTGAAAGTGACAACCATGTTGATTTCCAACCGGAGCTCAGGACCGCTTAGGCGGGCACCACTTACACTCATCAAACTGCCCAGAGCCTGTGTCAGGAAGGGCCTGGCTCATACAGTCTCAGCCAGGTCTGTGCCTCTGCTTTCATTTCATCCTTGAAGGAAGCTTCTTTTCTTTGTCTTCTTCATTAATTCTTCAGTGTCATCTCAATCGCTCCATTTGTCATTTCCATTTGCTCCGTGATGGTGTTTGCAGAAGAGGGTCATGCTGAAGAGAAGTAAGTGCCGCCTGAAGAGATGTGCGTGGTCTCCTGTGTGCCACTGTCCCTTGCTCCTGCTGCTCCCATCCAGGTGTAGGAGCCTCCTTTCTTCCTCCTGATGGGCACAGCTGCCTGCAGAGGCCTTACTTGCCAGAAATAGGCCCAGCCACTCACAGCTGAGGCCTTACCTAGTGTGAACTGGTAGGTCACACTGCTGGGCACTGCCCAGCCACAGCAGCTGCTGCCCCTTCGGGATTAACTGGCCTGTTTCATGAGCCTGACAAGCAAACAGGTAGCTCTCCAACAGGACAGCGCAGTAGCTCCCCACTAGCAAAGCATGGCATAGTCACCATGCAAGGCAGCTTCAGAGAAAGCACATAGCAACCCTAACCCCACCCCATCTTATCTGCACAAATGTGCTCTTGGAAGAATGTTTTCCCACCTTAAAAATAATCCATCCTTCTCCCCAAAAGTTCTCAGCATGATCTGCACCCCAGATCACCTCTATTTACAGAGGTTTCAAACTTATAGGTATTTCAACCATTATAGCTCAGCTGTTCTAGAAAGTGGAAACCATGGGCTCCTTGAACAGATGCCACGCCTGCCACCATGCAGGGGCAGAGATGGGCTAGCTTGCTGTAGCACCTGCTCAGGCTAGACCTGAAGCCACCTACCACTGTATCTGAGCAGCACCAAAGAGGGACCTTATAGGTCCCTTAGATCTTTACCATGTCTTCAGCCCACTTCCTCTCAAGAATTTAGACCTAGAGTCTCAGAGTCCAGTCCCTCACTGCCCACAAAGCCAATGGGCTCCCTATCCTTTATCCAAGCTGCCTCTGACCTTATTGGGCTGCCTCCTACCTGCCAGTGTTGCTGCCACATTGGTCCAAAAGGCCACCAAGCCTGAAAAGATAGGGGGAAGACTCTACACAGGGCTGTGCATAGGGCTCTCAACCTCCAGGAAGCAGCCTGTGAGCATTCTGGGAACCCAGACATCCATGGCCCACAGCGTGCACGTGCCAGCCCCCAAAACCCTTCTCACAACAGGACTAATGCTCAAGCCCATGGTACAAATGCCTTTTCAGATGTGCACCTCCATTCTGACTATGGTATGGGCCATACTTGAAGTATATCCCCACCATGACTATTGTCAAGTGGAGAAGTGTCACAGCGCTCAGAGGTACCTTGGGTGACCAGTGGTTTCACACACACACACACACACAGAGCAGCCCAGAGCCAGGTGACTGACCATACATGGCCTACTTCCCTCTTCACTTCTGTTCCATGTAGGCTCTGCCCGGTTAGCATTTGACAGGCCCTAAAGAAAAGCAGGACCTACACAAGTGGTTTCTATGGCCCAGCACCTTTCACAGTGCTTGGGAGAGTTCGGCTCACTGCAGATGCTGCCCCACCCCGTGGTCCTATCCCTGAAGATCTGAGATGGACTCAGGAGTCCTCACTGTCCCCTAATTTCCTACGTAGGAGAGGGCCCAAGTTCACACAGGCAGACATATGGACTTGTATGCTACCCACACCTAAGCCCGTATTTGGCAGAGCCAGGCACCAGTTGGCATCTCTGTCTAGATCCTGAAGGGCCTGTGTAGGTCCTATCTTTCCAGAAGGGGCATCCACATTCACGTGAGGGAAACACACACATACTTTCATCTCTGCAGGGGCTGTGGCCATGGGGGTGGCAGAATGGCATGGTTGCAGCTTAGGGATACCAGAACAACAGCCAGGGCCCATAGAGATGCTTGTCCTCCCTGGGTGTGGCCAGAACACCTGCCAGTGAGGGGCATTTCATAGAGAGACCACCTCTGTGTGGTCTTTGTGTGGCAAGGCAAACAGAACTTCCCCAGTACCAGATGTAACCTGTGCTCCCCACCCCAGCACCAGTGGAAGGGGCACTTTGAAAAGCTGAGCCTCTCTCTTCCAGCTCCAGCAGCTTCACCTGCCTGTACATAGTGAAGAGGGCAGGGCTGGGTTCCAGGATTCCCTTCAAACCTCTGCTTTCAGTAGGGACTGCACATCCCCCTAGTGAGTCTCTCCACAGAAGTGTACATTAATTCATACTGCGGTGAGGCAGGTCTATAGACACCAGTGCCACTTGGGAAGCAGACCCTACCCTGAGGTCAGCTCAGGACACACTGACAAACTGCTCCTTGCCCTATGGGTCTGGGGAGAACTTTCTCCAACCCTGGGTGCCCTCACTGGCAAGGGTCTCTACCTACTGAAGCAGGTCCAGCCCTGCTCTTGTCCCAAAAACCATGGACTTCAAGCCAAAAAGCCGAGGTCTGCCAGGCAGCTGAGAGCAGCTCAGGCAGGATCCTTCCTCAAGGGTGTGCTTCCTCTACCTGCTGAAATAAAGACATGTCATTTTGAGAGGGATGGGGGATGTCCCTGGGCACATTCCCCCGGGGACTGACAGTCTCGATGCCCTCTTTGAGTGAAACACCCTCAGTTTCCTCATAGCCCAAAACAGGCAGGCCCTTCCAGCTCCTCCAGCCCAGACTCAGGGGAGTGGCTGGCGTGGTGTGCTGTGCTGTTTCTGCTTGCTGCCCCTCCCACTCCATCCTGGCATGGCAAGTCACTCGCTCATTGCCAGTGACCTGCTACTAGAAGCTGTGATGTGGCTTGGGCACCTTCCCAACCCTCCTCAATGACCTGGCTTGTGATGGTTTTCTCTGTTGTTGCCGTTTCAGAAGCCCGGAGGTCATGAGCACCGTCTCAGGTACACGGAGCACGACGGTCACATTCACTGTCCGCCCTGGCACTTCCCAGCCCATCACCCTGCAGAGCCGGCCCCCTGACTATGAAAGTAGGACCTCAGGAACAAGACGTGCCCCAAGCCCTGTGGTCTCACCAACAGAGATGAACAAAGAGATCCTGCCCACCCCTCTGTCTGCCACAGCTGCGTCTCCTTCTCCCACACTCTCAGATGTCTTTAGCCTTCCAAGCCAGTCCCCTGCTGGGGACCTATTTGGCTTGAATCCAGCAGGTCGCAGCAGGTCACCATCTCCCTCAATACTCCAACAGCCAATCTCAAATAAGCCTTTTACAACTAAACCTGTCCACCTATGGACTAAACCAGATGTGGCAGATTGGCTGGAAAGTCTGAACTTGGGCGAACACAAAGAGACCTTCATGGACAATGAGATTGATGGCAGTCACTTACCAAACCTTCAGAAGGAAGACCTGATAGATCTGGGGGTGACTCGAGTTGGGCACAGAATGAACATAGAAAGGGCTTTGAAACAGCTCCTAGACAGATAAGGATGGCTGATCCTTCCCTTTATAGACTTCTTGTTATAAGTAGAGATGGGCTTATGCTGAAATATCTGATGGCCAAGCAGAGTCTGTGAGCACCAACCCCATTCCATGGGTTTGTCTCCCAGTACCCAAAGAAATGCTGAGGGCATCCAGTGTGGCTGAGCCAAAGCCTTGGAACCCCAGCTATCCACATGGGTTTCTTGGGCGGCTTCCAATAAGGAAGGGCTGTCCAATAAGGAATGGGGAGGGGGATTTTCTAACATGGATACAGATTCCCGGCCTGCTTCCCAGCATGCAGGTAACCTCGCTTTGCTGGGCTCAAGAGGCTCCCATTGATTTCACAGGGGATCCTTGCTCTTGTAGGCAGACACCAATGTACTCCAGATACCTCCTGAGACCTCCCTGCTCTGCTTTCTGGGCAGCTCTTGCCACACAGGTCCCAACACAAGCCTTTCCTCCATCCTGTGGCCTCTTAGAGGATGCTCAATGCCCATTTGCTCCTGTCTCTTTCCTGTACTTGCTTGCAGTGAGATGCTCCCAGACAGGCTCACCCAGTGCCCTTCCTGGGCCTGAAAGGTAGAGAAATGTTTTTTTCCTAGCTGGATCGCTTACCCCATCTCCTCCAGTGTTGTACACCCATGGTTCTTAGCCATGAAGTTCTTGGCAGCAGTGGGCATTTGAATGGGATCGTGCCCAGCTTTGCTTAGCTTTCTTTCTTTCTTTCTGCAAATCTATTAGCATAATTCCAAGGTGGCCAAACAGATGTCACATGGAGTTAGTCAAAGCACAAGGTCACGATCCCAAGGAGGAGAGCCCTGGCCATGGGAACCAGCCATTGTGTAGTTTCCTGGGCCTGGGGCCTCTTCTAAGATAAGAGCAGCTACTGCCAGGAGCATCTGCCCAGGATGTGGGGGGGTCTTCTGCCTCTCAGGATTCTTTTTAATTGAAGGCCTGTCAAGCTCTGCAAAGATCAGAGCAGGTGAGCATCCACGCTGACATAAAGGACAAGAAGATAACGTGGCTCATGGTGAGCATGTGCTGCCACAGGTGAGCTGACGTCTTCACCAGAAGTTGGTGAGACTCCGTGACCTCAGTCTGAACCCAGCTGAGGGTAAGCATCTCTACCAAGATGGCCCTTTTGCTCACAGATACCAGGGAAGGTGATACTTAGGGGCTTCTCCCCGTTCTCTCCAGGTGTCCGGGAATCCCACCAGCTTGTCTTAATAGTACAACAGGGTCTTGGAGGACCCCATGGGCAGGGAGTTCAGACAGGACCCAGGGTAGAGAACAGAAGGTGGGCTGCAGGATGCAGGTGAAACATGGATGAGTGCAGGAACAAGCCAGGGAGCGCTTCTGGACCATGGCCCTGTCTGTGCCCAGCTTCCTGAGCCTGTGCCCTTCTTGCCTCCGAGTCTCCCCTTCCAGAAATGATACCTCTGATGTCCAAGGGAGGTTACCAGTTGCACACAGGCTGCAAAACATCAAGTCAGGCTTCCCGCACCTTCTGCCACGTGTGGAGAAAATGCAAATGTCAGGTGTGTGGTTTCATTATGATTTCAGAAGTAGCCCAGCCCATCTCTAATTATAAAACACCTTTTTCCTTTTTTTTTTTTTTTTTTTTTTTTTTTTTTT